GCCTACCCCTGTGACCTAGCCTTTAGTGCAGCCCGTACGCTCAATAAATAAACCATATTTATATCTCTGAGAGGCTTATATCATCTCTGCAATGGCCAGGAGAAGCTGGGAATCTGGGTCCCCTCAGCAATCCTTGGTATGTTTATATAATTTAAAGAGCCGTCCTTTTCACATATGTGGCTTTGGGAGAGGCATATGATTAAAATAATAAAACCCAAACCACCAAGGTAATTAAAAAAGACTGCTGAAATATAATCAGAATTGGTTAAAATTATAAATGCTTTGGAACAATAAACACACGGGAGAATGCCTTCCAAAACTCATGAGCAGGATTGCCTTTATTCAAGGGACTGTTAACAAGGATACAGCCTTATTAATTATAAGCATTTTCTACTGTGATTTAATATTTTCATGAGAGTTTATAAAGTAAAAGTAAATGCTACTTTAATAAGTTAGGCATAAAAATCAATTAGCACAATTAAAAATCGTGTCTAAAAATCCTGTGGGAAATTACTTTCCTTGCTTTTGAGTTTTTAATATTCTGCCTTCCAAAGGGAAAAAGCAGCTACAGAGACTAAACAGATTTGACACTATTGAAAGAATGATTGAAATGCATGCTACCTGAGTATAATGACTGAAGATATAAATTGATCTTTCAAAACATCCATAATATATACATATATTTATTTCAGGCTGGATACTACTTTCTATGGAGTGTAGTTTCAACACAGATTTGTTATTGAAATAATATGTAGAAAAAGCAGCATGTAAAATTGTTTTTATCTAGGTTTTGGAGAAATAATCACAATAATTCTTGGGAATCATAGTCATGGGGGTGGATGTCATATGTGTGAAGTGAAAGAGGCTGGATAAAAATGCAGACACTGAGGATATGCCAGCCTTCCCAAACCTGGGATACTCCTATGCTGGCTGGGAATTCCTAGATTTGTAATCCCAACCCATCTGTTTACTTACATTCACTTTCTGTTACCTAAAGCTTGCATTGTAACCATTATGTCCTGCTAGGTTTCATTGGTAAAACAGTTGGGCTCGTAATCAGAGATTCAGTGGGGAAAAAACCCTCAACATTTATTTACTTATTAAACTTGGTGCCGCCTAACTCCCAACCATTCTGGCCAGCTCATGACAATGAAACAAAAAACTATAGCAAAATCAATTAAAGATAAAAGATAGGGGTCTCACCTTCCCTTGTTACAGGCCTGGATGAAGAGTTTTCATGGCTCTTCTGAACAATAGCAGAAGGGAGACCATCCTGATCTTGGGAGGAACCTTGTTCCAAAGGGCAGGTGCTCAGACAGGTGTGCTTCTGGGATCCTGATAGATAACATTTAATTGAAGAAATCATTTAACCCTGCAGGATTAAATCAGTCAGGCAGATGCTCTGAGTGATAGTCCCTCAAGTAAGCAGGCAGCATGCCATGTAGGGCTTTATAGGTGCCTTGAATCACACCTGGAAGCAATTGGAAATCAGTGCACCTCACAAAGCAGAGACATTACACAGGTATACTGAAGCCCATTACCAATTGAGCCACTGCATTCTTGAAGCAGTTAAAGCTTTGGGTGTGGGAAGGTGTATCCTCAAGTACAGCCCCATAAGACATGAAACTGCTAAATGTGTTACAATTTGTGTCTGTTGCAATGTAACAAAGTGAAAATGTCCTGCTGCAAAAGACATCATCCACACAGTATTTTACTGAATGTAAATTAAAAACAAGGTTTTCTTCTGGTTACTTTTTGAACAGCACCTTTTAATTATGTACATTTGCCACAAGGTGGCAGAAAGGTATCATGTTCCATACCCTCTACAATGGCCTATTCTTTGGCTTTACGTGGGAGTCCCTCTCTCCTTGGACTGCAAATATAGCCTGAGAGATTTAAGGCACCAGAGAATTTACAATATTTGCATAACCTAGTGTTCTCACAGTGGGGATATCTACTTTTTCAAACTGCTCTGTTTTAAGACCAACTGTGATGAAACATTAAAACTCATGCCCATATCTGCAAAGCATAAAAATCAAACTTTCACATTAGTTTAATTAAATATTTTTTTTTAAAAAACCCTCCTTTCTGAGGCATGTAATGAAGAAAGAAATAATAAAATTGATGTGGTCCTTACATAAAAAAGAGGGAAGATTTGTCTGTCATAAGGCAATAAAATACACTTGCTAGAAAAGTGTACTTTTCCCCATCATTTACATGTTGTGGTATTTGCTGAATGGCTTTCTTTGTACAATTTATTTATAGTGCTAGCATGTCTGAATGAGCATTCCACTGAGTTCAGGTGAACTGACTCTTACATAACTCAGTTACAGTGATAATCTGTAAATTAAAAACCAAGGGTAGGGGCAGCATGGGTGCAGGAGTCTTTTCTCTTACCCTATCAACTACTTCCAGTGAAAAGTGCTCTCATTGGGGCACCAAGCCAGCCAACAGAACCAGGTTTAAAGTGCTTCCAGGAGGCCAAAAAAGTAGTGACAGTGGCAGAATATTCCAAAAGGTAGGGCCCCCAGCAGAAAAGGCTCTTCTTGACCCCATCAACTGAAATTCTTGGATGGGGTCCATAACAAGCTTCTTCAGGTGGAGTAAGTGAGGAGGGCCAATCCATTTGGGGCAAGTTGGTTTCTTAAATACCCTGGACCCATGCCATAAAGGGCTTTAAAGGTAGAAAACAACACCTTGAATTGAACTTGGAAGCAAACTCACAAGCAATGAAGCTCATGCAACAGTGGTGTTATATACATCCCCCTAGAGGCCTCCAGAACTATCCATGCTGCTGCATTCTGTACTAGCTGTAGCTTCCAAATACCTTCAAGGGTGGCCCCAAGTAAGGTATATTGCAGTAATCCAACTGGGAGATGACTAGGGCAAGAGTGATTGCGCACTAGGCCTCATAATCCAGGAAAGGGTGCAACTGGTGCATAGCCTGAAGTTGTGCAAAAGCTCTCCTACCCACAACTGTAGGTGGAAACAGTTGTAGTTAGTAGATTACATTACCTCTGAAGATTGCATCATGTTCTCCATTGTGGATTTTTGAAGAGGATGGATGATGGAGTAACAGATTTCCTGAACTGGTAGAAGGTTGAATTAATTATTTCTTAAGTTGTTTTCAGCACTGCGATTAATTTAAAAGGACATTATGTGGATTACATTAACAAATCTCTGGTTGAAATGCAAACTGGCCAGTCACATTTTTGCATGGTTGTACAAACCTAATCATGTGGTTAGCTTTAATGTTTAGTGTATAATATGTGAACTCAAATAATTGTGTTAATGAATAAACTATGGGTAAGCAGACGCTGCACAGCATGAACAGACTCAGAGGGTCTTAATCTGATTTACTTTTTCACATAGTATGACATCTTGCCTGCTAACAAAATACAAAAACCCTAAATTTTCTTGCATAGCTATATAAACTATGATGGTTGGGATTTAGATGTGTCTGGATTTCCTTTTCAGAGCATCCAGGTTTTAACAACTGAGAGACTCTGATCCAGGTACTATCTGCTCATGAGAACATGCTGCTGTCTTTTCCATAGTAAATATTTTTCCACAAGAAATGTAATTACATTTTTTTTCTTCCATGGTTGTTTTTTAATAAACAGGCTAAGACATTGGGGTGGGGGTAAAGAATAGGTGGGATGAGATGGAAACAAATTATCTGCTCCTTGCCTTGATTGGAAGGGACCTACCACTAGCATAACTTCACCAGAAAGTTAGATTGGATGCAGCACAGTCTTTGAGCTTAAAATGTAACAATATTTTAGACAAAGACAACTTCGGCATTGTAAATTTTTTGCAAATTAGCCCAGTGGCTCCCACCCTCACCATAGTACTGAATAACTGTCAAATGGATAGGACAACACTTTGCCAACGTTTGCTAAATTTAAAATTTGGACAAAACTCAGCAGCGCCTTTTCGTGCGGCTGCTGATAAAAATAGGATCGCCAACATGATCGCCAACATCTGATAATGGATATGGCAAAAGAAGAAGAAGAAGAAGAAGAAGAAGAAGAAGAAGAAGAAGAAGAAGAAGAAGAAGAAGAAGAAGAAGAAGAAGAAGAAGAAGAAGAAGAAGAAGAAGCTAACAAACAAGTTACATTTGATTGGCAATTGGATGGGAGACAAGGATTGTTAGCTAGATTTGGGAAGTTAAACATACAGAAAGAAACCATTGGCAAACTACTTCTGCATTGTTTGAAGACAGCTACATGGATGGTCCATGAAATCACTACAAATGAGCTGGACTTAAAGAAAACTTGACTTTATAATATACAGTACTGCTTATGGTATGTCTTTACACCATGAGGATTCTGGTCAGGAAATGTTACTGGCTTTTACAGAAATGTAAGAGCCTGTTTGACAGGAAAGATGAATTAAGGGTAACTGCCTCTGAATGGTTTCTTTACATTTTCCTGTCTAAACTAGTCTCTATTCACTAGAAAACATCTGTACTTTTAATGTTTCTGGCAAGGAAAAAAATAATTAAAACAACAAACTGCACAGAGGAGTGAGGAATGCCAACCAAGCATTGTTCAGGAAGCCCTTGTAACTTTTAACCATATATAAACCTTTGTTTAAACTTTTGTTCTCAACCAGAGAAAGGTTTGTCATTTATATAACTTGCATCCTTATAAAGAAAACTGTTGCTGGGTCTTCTCAGATGCCGGCTGCTTTTAACAACCGATCCGAGAGTTCAGCGACTTCCCTCCAACCCTCCCCCCCTATCATTTTATCTATATAAGGCAGAATGCTTTCTTCCCCTTTCCTTATTCTCACAGTCCCAAATCCAGCGTCTCACAGTTGGGCTGCTGCCACCCGCACAGCTCGGCATTCTTTTGCCTTGTATGGCCAAATCCTTAGGGGTGGGAGGGGACCATCTGGGAAAACTCTCTTTTTTCATTGGCTGCCTCTGCCCTCTGATCCTGCTTTCCCCCAAACTAGGGAGATTAAAACAACAGCTAATTAATTTCATCCCTTTGCAGAAACGCTTCCTAGATCTGAGGGCTTTAAACAGTTTCTGTCTGAACCAGGTAGGTGCTCTTCCTTACATTTCCCTTTAGCAAGTGAGGATGGGGGGGGGGGGTTTGATAGATGGAGGGAGACTTTCCTTGGGCAAAGCAAGAGCTGGTAGTTTCCTGTTGTACTAGATCACTTGGCTATTGCATTGCATTTCATAATCCAAAATTAATGGTTTTCTGTTGAAACAAATTAGCAGTAAGGCTATCCTTTTAAGACCTGTTGTACTCCCTCGATTAATTGTGCTTACCAGTGGTTCTTAACTATGTTTATTCAACTGAGTTTTCTGGGTTTGCATGATGCACTCACCTACCTAGGCTTCTGAATGTATAACATGCTAAGCTAGAGTGTGATTGGCTAATTTTTGGCTCACGTCATGGATAATGTGCCATAAGGAGCACTGCACACAGGAGGTTCTCAGGTTTATAGTGAATCATCTCTGTCAGTCTTTTCCAATGTGATAGCTTCAAACACAGTATGTTGGAAGCTGTAGAAAACATCACATCTGGAGTGCAACAGGTTGGGGATAGCTGATAATGGTCCTTACAGGTTCACACATGAAACTATAATTTGCTAAACAAAATACAGTTTACTGGATCTGCACATTATAGTAGGATACAAACTACAGTTTACAAACCTCAGTGGCCAGATCCACATACAAGTTAATCCAAAACCAAACAAATTACACTAAGGTTAATACTTGAACTATCGGCTGTTCCTTAACTGTGTTCTTAGAAGCAGAATTTCAATCAGGATTGCATGGATAAAGGGAAAAGAATCCACTTTGCCACTGCAAATAATCTGGGATAGACTTGTTTATTGAGAAGTGTATTCGGTGTCCTTAAACATGATAATGCAGGTCCTCAACCCTGGAAGAAAATGTTCTTCTGGCTAAAGATGTATGATCTGTACTAATGTATGGGCACCTGAGCTAAACCTTGAGCAGCAAATATTCTATGGATTTGTACTAAACTTGAAAGCCCCATTGAAAGTCATCCAATCCAGACCGAATGTTTTCCAATTATTTTCATTGCTCGAAATCCAGAACTACAACATCCCTAGTTGGGTTGCTTAGCCTTTAACTGAATACTTTCCATCAGGGGAAGCCTCCCATTATTTCCATTGTTGAAGCGTTCTTTGCCATTACCCAAATTGAGTAAGCAAAACAGATTAGATGAAAATGATGAAAATATATCTTTTTCTGCAGTTTGGAAAGAGGAAACATCTAGACAACAGTAGATTGAGGAGCATAGTTTACAAGCATCATGCCCTAAAGCATCATTCAGACTTCAGTGTTGTTTGAACACACAGAACTGTGTACGATGTAGTTTCATATCGTATGTATGGGATGGTGCTGCTAGCTTGATGTGCAGAGTGCTTCATTCTGTTGATTATAGAAGCATCTTCTGGGTGTATATCTGGTACCTTTCCTCCTCAAAACTGATTAAATGCTAAACTTAAGCAGAAGCTATTTCCAAGAAACACTAGAGTTCAATGATATAGAATTGCAGGATAACATGTTTGCTGTATCAATAGCACATGCTTGCCAGTCCTGGCTACTTTTAGGCTACCCAGAATCAGTTAAGTTTCCTTTTGGCTTGTAGGCACTAGGTATGTTGATTAAAAAATATTTGGGAAACATACAGTTTCATGTTTATTTTAAAAAGAGATCTCAAGTATAACTTGGAAGAGCTGAAGGTGGATGGATGATCATATTCATGAATGTGATGAGATGTATTCTTTTACATATTCAAGAATGCTTTTTAAATTATTATTATTTTAGTATACATATCTTATGAATCTGGATTATTTAACTGAACTCAGGAATCAAGCAAGCCGCAAAATAGATGTTTTCAGACTCTATCTCCCCTTATCTGAGCTAAAACGGAGAGAGGAACAAAAACATTTGTCAGTATGAAGACAGTCTTTTAGTACACCAAGTCCTTTACCCATAATTCAGAGCGCAAATAAAACAGAGGATTGTGTGTGCATGTATATGTATATGCCTGTGCGTGCGTGCGTGTGTGTGTGTGTGCACATGTGTGAGTTATGGAAGTATAATTTTTGATCTACAAAACATACTGCAAATATGGAGTACTAGTGCAGTATAGTAAACAACTGGCAAAGAAGGAACTCTGTGGTGAAGAGACAGCATCCCTCGACTTATCAAATGTCAGTTTTAAACAGTCTAGAGATTTAAGCTTTGTTTAACTATATTTATTGAATAAACAGCTGGCCTGCTCAACACACGTGGCCAAAATCAAATAAAGCCCATCATGCTCAAAACCTTTTGGGGATCATAGGAAGTACAGTATATGATACCTGGAGAGAACCAGCTTAGAAAAGGCTGCTGTAGTATATCACTTATCTAAAGATTAGCTCCTATACTCTTAAATGGTACTCAGATTATGGCTTGTACACAAACCAATGTGTGCAAGCTCCATTCCACTGAATAGATCATATGTGACTAGAATATTTGATGGATTGTACCTTCACACATGCAGCTACTTGAGAAGCCAATCAAGTGTGACTGGAAAAAAACCTTTTTATTTTTTTGCGCCACTGAACCTGTGCCAAGTAGTGAAGACGAGGAGTCCTAACAACCATTTAAGGACAAGAGACTGGTATGGCAATTAGAAACTCAGGAAAAGGTTGGCGAAATCTCACTGCTGTTAAGGAATCACAAGAAATCTGCCCAGAGGACAAAAGAAATGCTTGCTTCCATGAGTCAAATTAATACCATAGTCTATTAACATTATGAAAGGAAGGAAAATTTGATGTGGGTAATGTTGATTTTATGTCTGTAAGAGTCATTCTTCTTTTTCCTCTCTACTACATTTTATAAGGCCAGTTAAAGGGGAGAAATAGGTAGCTTACTTGGGCATGCTTGATGAACATTCAGGGTACAGTAGTCCTTAACTTATAACCACAACTGAACCCAACATTTCTTCATTAAGCAAGACAGTTGTTAACTGAGTTTTGCCCCATTTTACGACTTTTCTTGCCACAGTTGTTAAGCGGATCACTGCAGTTGTTAAGTTAGTAACGTGGTTGTTAAATGAATCTGACTTCCCCATTGACTTTGCTTGTCAGAAGGTCACAAAAAGTGATACATGACCCCAGGACACTGTCACCATTATAAATATGAGCCAGTTGCCAAGAGTCAAAATTTTGATCATGTGACCACGGGGATGTTGCAATGGTCGTAAGTGTGGAAGATGGTCATCAGTACCATTGTAACTTTGAACACACACTAAACAAATGGTGGTAACTCAACCACTGCCGCTGCTTCCTCCAAACCCTTCCACAATTCACAGAAAAGCTTTAAGAGGAAATAATGAACAAGAGAAAGCAGATAGGCTGGCTACAGCATCATAGCAAATAGGTTAAATGAAGATAAACCTGAAAGTGTGGAAAAACCAGGAGTTTTTCAGACCAGACCAGGAGTTTTTCAGACCAGACCAGGAACATTATATTTCAAAGCTTCCTTGCTCTGTGAACGGAACAAGGTGTCAATGAGGCTTTTAGATTTCACTCTTTTTTTGTTACTAGATTAGTGTAGAGCTCAGTGAATAAAGAAAATCAAGCAGAGAGTGGTTACTTCTTTGCTTTCCTTTGATAGTTTCCCCTTTAAAAGTACTACTTTTTAAAATACTTGCCTTTCCCACCACTTTTATTATACATTTCTAATTAAAAGCCCAAAGTAATACTTAAGGTGACATGAAAATATTTTCTTATGTAGTCAAAAATAAGCATTGTTATGCATGACTGCAATCACGCTGATGTTAGTAAACTACTGTTGCTGTATCTGTGCAACAACAACACACATACAAACATACAAGAATCCTTTCAAATGACTTGAATATTTTTCATGTCAAGAAGCAAAAATCAATTAGATTGCAAAGCATTGACTCTTAGTGATATATTTGCACCATTGAAACTGCTAGCTGTAAAGACAGGGCTAGTTGAAAGGAAACAGAAGTGAAACAACAGGGTAGTTTCCCTTTAATTGCCTGGGTTGAATTGATCCATCTATTCCAGGGCTTTTCAACCTTTTCACCCATTGTACCACTTTTAGGATACGGCAACATCCGAGTACCACCAGTCGCCTAGCAAGGTGTCAAAAACTTGATGACCAAAAAAAAAAAAAAAAAGGAAAAAAGTGATAAAGTACAGGTAGTCCTCGACTTACAACAGTTCGCTTAGTGACTGTTCAAAGTTACAATGGCACTGAAAAAGTGCCCCCCAAGCCACAGCCGAGCAAGACACCTGCCTGCCCACCCAGTGACGCTCTTCCTCCTGTCCGAGGTTTTCATTGTTGTGAGCATTTCTGTTGGGGATTGGCAGCAGGGGTGGGGGGGGGTGTTTGGTTTTTATTCCCCCCGTCTGCTGGGTGGTTGCAGCAGGTTTTGGTCACTTCACATGACCCTGGGACACTGTGACCGTCATAAATATGAATCAGTTGCCAAGCATCTGAGTGTAAATCACAAGACCCTGGAGATGCTGCAACATTCCAGCTGATTGGCGCTTCTTCTGGGCTCAGCGGAAGTGCCAGGATCAGCGCCGAGCTCCAGCTGGAGCCTGGCGCTGATCCTGTGCTTCCATTGAGCCCTGACAGTCCCGAAGAAGCGCTGATCCTGGGGCTTCCGCTGAGCCCTGACAGCCCTGCAGCTCCAGCCATCTCTTGCTCAGGCTTGTCCGGTGTTTCCACCAGTTCAGCTCATTCCCCTCCCCCTCTACCACTTTTCTAGGATGTTCGCGTACCACCTGCCAGGTGCCAATGTACCACAGGTGGTACCCGTACCACTGGTTGAAAAGCCCTGATCTATTCTATGACAATCAAGGCTCTTGATCTATTCTGAGATATAAACCAAAGTCCCAGGTTTCCACTGTGCTATGACACTTGCCATTGTCTTATTTTTATCTTATCCATAAACATAATTAGCCAAATTCCTAAGTTTATTAAGAGCATGGCATTCTTTGCTGTTCCAGATTTAGCACTTAATCTTATGCA